CCCCAAAACCCCAAAACCCCAAAACCCCTCAGCAAGAAATTTATACTGAAAGGTACAGCAAAGGAAGGGAATTTAGACATCTAAGGGGTGGATTGGGCAAAGTTGAGAAATAGGGGTTGGAGAGATTGGGGAGAGGGGGAAGAGAAAAGAGGGAGGGCTTGGGAGGGGTGAAGAAGGGGTGCAATGGAGGAGGGTGTGAGGTTAGTGATGAGAGAATGATCCTATGAGAATATAGGGATGGTAATTATATATTGAGGAGAATAAAATTGGTGGTAATCAAGTAAGTGCCAATGAAGACTTTAAAATATTCTAGTAGACTCTGAAATTATGTTTATTTCACACTCAGCATTTATGAAATGACAATACTTCATTTCCATTCATATCTGTGTTTCAGATAAAATATCAGCCAAGATGCAGCTTGTGAGGACATCCTGGATCAATGTATGACTGACTTCATTTTCAAAGCTTTCTATACAAACTTGTTTGCTTCTGCTTCTCATTTGGAGTTTCAAGCATCGGCTCCAATAAGTTGTTAAAACAGTAGTCTCAGTCAGGAACTCTTCCATTTTCAATATCAAGCCCAGAAAAGTTGTCAGGAATCTTCTTTACAAGTTGGAGGTAACTCAGCTCTATTTCCGAGTAATATTCTCCTCAGAACCACGACTGGTGAGCAATGAAAACTGTAACAAGCACCAAGTGGATGAACATGAACAGCAAAATATACAAGAGTTGTTGGAAGCCGGTGTGAGTGTGTGTTTCAAACACAAATTTGAAGTTGACTGAATAGGTGAGATGGAAACTGATACAGAGGGTGACAATCCATTGAGCGATTGTTCAAAATCCGTTCATTGCGTCTTTCAGTCTTTGTCTTACAACTATGCTATATAATACATTCTGAGTGACAACAATGTAGATATTACTTGTCATGAATCTGACATAGCTGTGAATTATGAAACTTCCAGCTATACTTGAGTCTTGTAGAATTGCTCCAGAACCAATCATGATTAACACTAAGTTCCTACCAATGAACGATGCATTAGTTTTAGAATATTACCAATCTCTATGCACTAGGGAATCCTTCCAGACAGTTCAAAAGTCTCAGTATAAAACTCAGGGAGCTGAATATAATTTGGATGACAAAGAATAAATATGATGCAATGAAATAAGCCACCTGTGAGAGAATGTACAATATTTCTAATCTTCTCTTCTGCCATGTTGACCTCTCGGAGTCTTCTTGCTCAACCTCATATCCCTTTAGGCTCCTCACTACATCAGAATCCTGCAAGATAAAGCTTGAATTAAGTGTTGGCTTTAAGAAATGATTGTCTGGGTCTATTTGCTGGTCATAAAACTCAGTATCATTAGAATAGTGGGTATTATCAAAATACTGAAAAGTGTTTGACCTTTCCAATTGATCTCTGGCTCCAAAGATCTGGATTACAGGTACATACAGCACAAGGAGGAGTATTGCTGAAAGATTATCCAGTCCTTGCAGTTCCAATTCCGCATTTTTAATAGTATTAATATAACCTGCCTGTATTTTTATTGTTTTGTGAGTTTTAGTAGTTTTACACAAAAATAAAGTAAAAAGAGTATAAGAATTAGAGGGTTGAATGGAGTTTAGTTCTTTTCTTTTGAACTAATTAATGTGACGGGAAGGAATATGAGTACTTCAGTTGAACAGATACTAGAATTAGGATAATCTTATTATTATACTTCAGCTTTCCTAAAATTATTAACTATCGAACCTAAATCAAGTTTTATATACTCTTTATTACAAAAAACACTTGAAAGAGAATTTGAGTATACCTCCAAATCCCACAATCGCTCTAACCCCTCCTCCATATCCACACACATAACCCTCCCAACCCCCAACTCCTCCTTCACCCCACCCCCTCCATCTCCCCTAACCCAGTTCCCTTCCTAGATCCCCTAAACCCCCCAAACTCCCACTCCCTGTTCCTTCCCACTGAGACTTCCAATCTCCAGTCAACTTCCTCTTTGGCTCAGATAAAATTCTGATTTTGAGTATAAGCTTGGAAGGAGGGAAAGGAAGGGGATTTGGAGGGATTGAGGAAGGAGAGGGAGGGAGGTTTAGGAGGTGGGTGGAGGGGTGGAGTAGGGGATGGAGGATTGGGAGAGGAGAGGGATTAGGGTTGTAGGTTTTGGGGTTGTAGGTTTTGGGGTTTTGGAGCTTATTAAGGTGATTTATGAAGCGAAGTAAGGGGAGGTTTAATGGATGATAGAATTAATTTATTTATTAATTGAGTCCTCGCTTTAAGATATTTTATTGTTCTGCTCTTTAAATCTTACAAAACAATACTTCAAGATTTGATTAACTAAAGCTTATTACCCAAAAAGTATATTTTAAGTGATATTATAATTTTTTTGATAAATTTATATATAAACTGGGTATAAAAGTATTACATGCGTACAATAAAATACAATACGTTGATAATTTAATCTAAACTAAACTAATTAATATAAATCTAATTGTCAAATTCTTGTAAAGTTATCCTAAATGCACAGATATACTTTCTTACCAATAATAATCTCTCTGAACATCATTGAACTGTCATTCTTAAGCAATATATACTTCCAGTATTCCCAATGAACATATAATATTAAGTCATGTTTGTAACCAGAAACCTGTACTACAGTGGAAAGCAAAACACCTTAATAAATTTTGAAATCTAGGACTCTACAATTTGAATGATGCAGATCATTGCAATCACTTAATCTAAGCTATTATCCCAAAAATGATTCATTACTCTAATCTTTGAGTCACTAGAAAGAAATTTAACTATCTGAGCAGTCACTTCTTTGACTCTAACTTCAATACGTTAAAGCCTAACAATGTGAAACCTTAAAACTATTAATAGATGGGAACTGTAAGTGATTGATTGAGTTTAGTATCATTATTAATATCTTTGATCACACAATGGGCAAGACCAGACCATCCAATTGCTCGTTTTCATCAAATTGTAAAAGCATGCCATATGAAATCTGTGAGAACAATGTTGCCCATTTCTACCTCTTCTGTAGCGATACTTATAAACATCTTCAAAAGAAATATATGCGTCTTTATAACTGACCAATTTCTGATACATCTTATTTTGCTTATCTTGGTGTTCAATATATTCTAGTGGAGGGTTAGAGAGCTTGTTGGATCAATAATCTCAATCTGGCTTCAATAAATCATCTTTTCCAAAAGCATCAAAATCCAAATGACAATATCTAATAGATTCAGCCATCTTAGCTCTGACTCTCTTTCTGATATAAATATCTCAGCAATAAACTTGGTGAACCATGTACACCAAGATCAATCCAAAATTGATACAAATGAACAAGAGAATATACAAAATCTGTGAAAGACTTGAATGCTCGTGCTCTTCAAAGATGAACTGAAAGTTTACGACAAAAGTAAGATGGATGCTAATGCATAAATTCATCAGCCACTCATAATACGACAATAAGCCTTTCCGTGCTCCGTCAACTCTATGTTTAGAGATCACACTGTAGGCAACCAAGAACACCCAGAAGAGATTTTGTATAATCACAATGGAAGCACTCGTGGTGATAAAGTTTAGATAGCTCTGAATAAAGAAGCTGGAAACAACTCAGACTCATTTTAGGAATAATGTGAACGCCAAAGTATAGACCATAACTCGGATCATGAGGTCAAAATTTCAATCATAAGTATCTATTGAAAATACTACTGATAATTGTAAAACAATTGGTAACAAGTAAATCTGAATTAAAAATAAAAGGAATAGAATAATGTGCACTGGAGCATAAAATCCATTAAGCTTAATCCTGAGGATTATTATTCAGAAATCTCTGTGGGTCACAATAAATGATAGAGTTGCGATTATAGCTCCAACCCAAGTAGTCATCCAGCTATCTTCTAAGGAGGGATCTTTATTCTTAACCCAAGCATATACAGCAAGTAGATAAGCAATCTGAGTGAGAATGTAGAGTATTTCGAATCCTCTTTTGTCTAAGAAGGATCCACCTATTTGAATGTAAACCCTTTCTTACCTTGGTTTGGTTTAAAGTCTGAGTCTTGGTCGGTAGCTATATTCATGAGATATTTAATGAGATGGGCTATTTCATTTGTTATGCTCCTTTACTGTCAGAAAGTTTGCCAACTAAGAAAGGATGCTTTTTTAATTGATCCTTTCTACTTAAGCATTAAACTAAGTTTTCATCCAAAGTAATACAAATATATAAGCTAAGGAACTCCTGTGTTTCTTAACTTTTGGTAGTTTACACCTAATTCATCCTCTCAAGTTAAGGAAATACAAAGAAATCTTTATTGGTCAGAGCTATAATTTAAACTAATGCTAATTGCAACGTAAAAGCGAAAAATTAAAAGTGATTCCATGTATTCATATCTCAGGATTTTTGATATTATAAAAGTTAGCATTGTTCCTTAGCTTCATACTTAATAATAACTTAAATAGGTTCTAAATTGTTACTAAAAGATATCTATATTTTCCCTAATGTATCTTTACCTTTGCTAAAATCTTTGGTTTTATAAACTGTTGAACAACTAATTTAGCAGCACATCTAAGAACTTACCTTTTGAGAAGATTACTCCCACTATCTCTAAAGCAGGAGCTAAGAGGTTCAGAAAGATTAAAAGAATAGGAATTAATTTCCCTGATCAGCTTGGAGATCACATTTATTATTTTATATTCAATTAATTATTATTCTTTGGGGTTTTGGGGTTTTGGGGTTTTGGGGTTTTGGGG